CTACGTCCGTGACACCACCCATGCCCTCCACCTCCTCCAGAACTTCCAATTCCCCGGTCCCCAACACCTCATCTTTACCATGGACGTCCAGTCCCTATACACCTGCATTCCCCATACAGATGGCCTAAAGGCCCTCCGCTTCTTCCTGTCCCGCAGGCCCGACCAGTCCCCCTCCACTGACACCCTCATCCGCTTAGCCGAACTCATCCTCACCCTCAACAACTTCTCTTTCAATTCCTCCCACTTCCTACAGACAAAGGGGGTGGCCATGGATACCCGCATGGGCCCAAGCTACGCCTGCCTCTTTGTAGGTTACGTAGAACAATCCCTCTTCCGTACCTACACTGGCCCTAAACCCCACCTCTTCCTCCGTTACATTGATGACTGTATTGGCGCCACCTCGTGCTCCCAGGAGGAGCTCAATCAGTTAATCCACTTCACCAACACCTTCCACCCCAACCTTAAGTTCACTTGGACCATCTCTAATACCTCTCTCTCCTCCCTGGACCTCTCTGTCTCCATCTCGGGCAACCACCTAGAAACCGATATCCATTTCAAGCCCACTGACTCCCACAGCTGCCTAGAATACACCTCCTCCCACCCACCTTCCTGCAAAAATGCCATTCCCTATTCCCAATTCCTTCGCCTCTGCCGCATCTGCTCCCAGGATGAGGCATTCCACTCCTGTACATCTCAGATGTCCTCATTTTTCAAGGACCGCAACGTCCCCCCCGTCAGTGGTCGAGAATGCCCTCGATCGTGTCTCCCGCATTTCCCGCAACTTATCCCTCGCACCCCTTCCCCGCAATAACAACCAAAAAAGAATCCCCCTCGTCCTCACGTACCACCCCACCAACCTCTCGATCCAATGCATCATCCTCCGACACTTCCGCCATCTGCATTCCAACCCCACCACGTTTTTCCTTCCCCACCCTTATCTGCTTTCTGGAGGGACCACTCTCTCCGTGACTCCCTTGTCTGCTCCACACTCCCCTCCAGCCCCACCACACCTGGCACTTTCCCTGCAACCGCAGGAAGTGCTACACCTGCCTCTACACCTCCCCCCTGACCCCCATCCCAGGCCCCAAGAAGACTTTCCACATCAAGCAGATGTTCACCTGCACATCTGCTAATGTGGTATACTGCATCCGCTGTTCCCATTGTGGCCTCCTCTACGTCAGGGAAACCAAGCGGAGGCTTGGGGACCGCTTTGCAGAACACCTATGCTCGGTTCGCACTAAACAACTGCACCTCCCAGTCGCGAAACATTTCAACTCCCCCTCCCATTCCTCAGATGACATGTCCATCCTGGGCCTCCTGCAGTGTCACAACGATGCTACCCGAAGGTTGCAGGAACAGCAACTCATATTCCGCTTGGGAACCCTGCAGCCCAATGGTATCAATGTGGATTTCACAAGCTTCAAAATCTCCCCTCCCCCTACCGCATCCCAAAACCAGCCCAGCTTGTCCCCGCCTCCCTAACCTGTTCTTCCTCCCACCTATCCCCTCCTCCCACCTCAAGCTGCACCCCCATTTCCTACCTACTAACCTCATCCCGCCCCCTTGACCTGTCCGTCCTCCCTGGACTGACCTATCTCCTCCCTACCTCCCCACCTACACTCACCTTTACTGGCTCCATCCCCGCCTCTCTGACCTGTCTGTCTCCTCTCCACCTATCTTCTCCTCTATCCATCTTCTTTCCGCCTCTCCCTCTCTCCCTATTTATTTCAGAACCCCCTTCCCCTCCCCCATTTCTGAAGAAAGGTCTAGGCCCGAAACGTCACCCTTCCTGCTCCTATGATGCTGCTTGGCCTGCTGTGTTCATCCAGCTCTACGCCTTATTGTCTCATTAAAATACACATCAGACTAGTTGGTGGCAATGTGTCATTTGCATTGTTAAGATTTTCAATGCGTCATTACAAAGTTCATATACCAACCTATACTCCATAGGACAAAAATAGGTTCATATTCAAATGGCTTCATTTGTTTCTGGAAGAGAAAGTGACTGGAAATTTAAAATGACCAGAATTGCTCAGTCAGAAACAAGAGCTTTAAGAGCAGCAGGAGGCCTGTCAACTTGGTCAGAAATCACATGACATCAGGTTATAGTCCAACTGGTTTATTTGAAAACACCAGCTTTCTTGCTTCAGTCCTTTGTCAGGTGTTAGTGAGAGAGGTAGTATCAGACACAATTTATAAGTAAAGGATCAAACGGTCACACCATTGATGAGGATGAACTAAACAAATCTAAGATGCTGCTAAATCTTTAATAAGTTAGAAGGTTTTAATTGATTAATATATTTGTGTAAATCCCCAAATTCCTTTAAAGTCACAGTCCTGAGAGAACTAAAGGTTTTATGGGTGTAAAGAAGAGGTGACATTATAAGTCAGAAATACATACTAGGTGTGACACCTTGTTCAGAATCTGTTTGTCTTTTAGTTTGGAGTCAGACTGGTCTTTCAAACGTAGGAATTTGTAAACCACCATATTGACAAACTGTCTATAAATTGTGTGATTTCGGAACAAAATAAAATGTATCTGCAAATACAAATTCACCCCATAGATTGACGTGTTTGTGTGAGACAGAGCAAGGTGGGGGAAAGAGAGAGAGTGAGAGCGAGGTGGGGGGAGAGAGGGCGCGAGGGCGGGGGGAGAGAGGGCGCCAGAGCAAGGGCGGGGTGGGGAGAGGGCGGGGGGGGTGGGGGGGAAGAGGTCGAGAGGGCGCGAGAGCGAGGCAGAGGCGGGGAGAGAGGGCGCGAGAGCGAGTGTTCTAGAGACATGGGTTCGATTTTCACCAATTCATAATCACTCAACTATTACAAAATGTGGTTCACCAGTATTCTTTGAGGAAGGAAATCTGCCTTCCTTAGATGATCTGGCCTGCAATGTGGTTGTCGCGAACTGCCCTCTGAGATGACCGAACAAGCTACTCGGTTGTGTCAAAACTGCTACAAAGTCCAGAGAAAGGAAACCATTCAGATAGACCACCCAGTTCTTAACCTGGGCACTGGAAAAGGTAAGGACAACCACAGACCTGATGACACTGATCTTCCTTAACAACTGGGACCTTGACAAAATTGGGAGAAGTGACCCACAAACTAATTAAACAACAGCCTTGCTTGGGGTTTAGGACATCATGCGTCTGTGAAGTATGTTTCCATGAGTATGAGTATCCACATTCCTGGATATGTCCTGTCCCACTGGCAGGATGATCCTACCAGGGGTGGTAGCACAGTGGTACAAAATCTGGAAGGAATTGTTCTGGGATTTCACAATATTTATTCCAGACCTCATGAAATCTTACAGTATCAAGTTCAAATGCAAACAAGGAAATGTTCTACTGATTACCACGTACTGCCCCTTATCTGATGAATCATTACTCCTTGATGCTGAATGCCTGTGAATGCCACCTGGAGATAACTCTGAGGGTGGTCAGGGAACAAGTTGCACTCTGGGTGGAGGATTTAAATGTCCATCACCAAGAGTGCCTTGGCAGAACCGCTACTGATTGAACTGGCTGAGTCCTAATGGATATGGCTGTTTTACTGGATCTACAATAAGTGGCAAGGATACCAGCAAGAGGGGAAAATCTTTTTGACCTCCTCCTCGCCAATCTGCCTGCTGCTGATGCATCCATCCATGATGGTAGAAGTGACCACTGCACAGTGCTTGTGCTGATGAAATCCCTTCTTCACATTGAGGATACCCTTGTTGTGTCGTGTGGCAAGATCACTGTGCTAAATCGGACAGATCTTCCAATAGTAACTCGACTAGGCATCCATGAGGTGCTGTGAGACATAAGCACCAGAATTGTATTCAACCACAATCTGTGACCTGGCACATTCCACACTGTACCATTTATCATCCAGCCAGCAGCAAGCCATAGACACAGATAAATGATCCCACAACCAACGGATAAGATCAAAGCTCTACAGTCCTGCCACATCTAGTCATGAATGGTGATGGACAACTTTTCAGCCAGAAGTGCCAAGTGGATGATCCATTTTGGCCTCCTCCAACGGTCCCCTGCAGGGATCCTCAGCAAGAGGCTAATAGCTCACCTTCTGACTCTCCAAAGCCTGTCCACCATCTACAAGGCACAAGTCACAAGTGTAATAGAATATTTTCCAATTACTTGGATGGGTGCAGCTCCAATAACACTCAAGAAGCTTGACACCATCCAGGACAAAGCAGCCAATTTGATTAGCCACACATCCACCACCTTCAATGTTCACTCCCTTCACCACTGACACAGAGTAGCAGCACTGTGTATTATCCGCAAGATGCACTGTAATAACTCATTCAGGCTCCTCTGATGGTAGAATTTCCAAATTTGCAAATCCACCTCCTAGAAGGACAAGGGCAGCAGAAATTGGGAATACCAGCACCTGCAAGTTCCCCTCCAAGCCAGTCACTATCCTGGCTTGGAAATGTATTGCTGTTCCTCACTTTCACTGGGTCAAAATCCGGGAAATCCCTTCCTAACAGTATTGTGGGTGTCCCTGCACCCCATGGACCACTGCAGTGCACGAAGACAGCTCACCACCTTCTTGAGGGCAATTTGAAATGGGCAATAATAGCTTGCCTGGTCAGTCATGTCCACATCGCTTGAACAATTTACTTTTTTAAAAAAAAAAATGTGAATTCAAAAGTAATCACTGTTCTTTGAAATACTTTTCATTTTTTTAATTTATTATTATTTCATAGCTATCATCTCTAAATACCATACCAAAAGGGTCTCAGAATTCAGAGATGTACTCCCTGATCAGGTCTCTGGAACACCAGCCACAATTTCTCTTCGGGCCTCCTGAGCTGCTTAATCCATCAAGCATTTTAATGCTTTCATTCAGGTGTAAGAAGGATGTGTTTTGATGGGTCAAATTGCTGACTTCACAGTGGGCTGGGCATTGCTTCTCTGGAAAGCTTCATGCGGTAATAAATAGTTGAAATTAAACAAAGCATTTTATATATGTATAACTAACAACTCTGTCCATTTCAGTGTCAAGGTTGAAACAGACAATGTCTCTGTATCCGTCACTGGAGGATCTGAAGGTCTCCAAAGTACTTGAGGTCAGTTTAAATGGTTTTTAATACAGTTTCTACATTGTTTAAGGTGTTGATGATGATTGCTCAATTGTTTAAATTTTGGTGAATTCAGGCTAGTCCAGCAGGATAAAAGTGTTTTTTCCCTTGACTGCTTGCATAAAGGAGTACAAAACTAGTGGCTAAAACCAGGCAAGATGGACTAAATAATCTTTAGTTAATTAAAATGTGATTCTGAACATTGGAACTAAATTGTCAGTGTTCAGAAGCTCTGATGTTGTCAATCATCAAATGGATTGTATTAATGGAACAAGGCTTAGCGAGGTACTGATAAACATTCTAGGCCAAATAAGAACAACAAGTTGGGAACGAGGAATAAATGTTTGCAGAAATACCAGCCAAAAGATCAAGGCAAGAGGAGATATTGTGAACTTGGAACCGAACATTACATAAAAGGAAGCATATCCAATGGGCTCCAACTGCAAAACACTGAATCACTTTGTATGCAAATATTTATCTAGAAAGAAATAAAGCAAGCCGACAAGATGGCTGCTGGAGAGGTGTCAGCCATTGATAGTGACGAATATTTTTACACCATACAACAGATTGGCATTGGCAGGTCTAAAGGTTATTTATGGCTTGAGACTACAGAAGAGAGTGATGTGAATGTGAAGCATCAGATAGACATCAATGCTGTGTGCATATTATATGCTTCTCAGATGTGTTTAATGGCTCAAGATGATGATCCGATAATGAAGCCCTTAAAAGTAAAGTTGATACTATATGATGGAACAATACTCAAGCCGAAAGGAAATATTAAGTGGAAACACCAAAGCAATGGTGAGGATGAAGACGTGGAGTTCCAGATGACAAACTTTAAGCAAAATCTGCTCAACACAACTGAAAGAAGCCTAATGCTTAGACTCATAATCTGATATGCACCAGAAAAGATTTGCAGTGGTCACTAAGTCATTGACCGCTGAACAGTTCCTAAAAGACTACCAATGTGTTTTTACAGGTTTTTAATGTCTTCTTGATAAATATCATCCTGATATAGATGAAAATATGAGACCAAATCTAGGAGTTGGGACGTCATGTTTAAGTTGTACAGGACATTGGTGAGACCTCTTCTGGAGCACTGTGTGTAGTTCTGGTTTCCCTGTTATAAGAAAGATATTATTAAAGCAGAGAGGGTTCAGAAAAGATTTACCAGGATGTTGCCAGGAATAGAGGGTTTGAGCTATAAAGAATAGACTGGAAAGGTTGGGACTTTGTTCACTGGAGCACAGGAAGCCGAGGAATGACCTTATAGAGGCTTATAACATCATGAGGGACATAGATAAGATGAATGACAAGGTCTCTTCCTGGTGGGTGGTGGGGGGCAACAAGGGGCAGAAAAGAAAATGAAGGGAAAGGGCCGGATTACCTGTTGGTTGTAATGATATTAATAGAAGACTGAAAGGACTAAAGGAATGCAAAACTAGTGGCTAAAACCTAGCAAAGGGGATGAAATAATGTCAAAACAAAACTAAGACAGGAACCATGATGGAATAATGTCTTGCCTGTATTCCAGAAATGACCTGATGACTTTGTTTATTATCATTAGAAGATAATTATTATATAATTGGATATTAGATTTAAATGTTTGTTTATTTTAGGCTCAGGCCACTATTGCAGCCAAGATGGCCCCACCAGCAATTGAAGCTGAGACCCCCAGTGCTGGAAGTGGTGAGTCATTGCAACTTGTGTTGTGTCCTTATTTTAACGTCAGTGTTCCACGTTGTTCTTCAACCTCCACTCTCAACATCTCAAGCATGACTCCTGCTTGGTGTTAATATCTCCACTTTCTTCCATGTCCTTGCCTAGCTTTATCGTGGTAACCTCTCAATCCTGAGAAGGTCATGATCCTGGAACAGGGGCCATAACGTGTAGAATTTCAAGGCAGTCTTGTTCAGGCAGAATGGCAGTCCCATCACCTGGCTCAGCTGCATGCTCTGGTTTCAAATGGGGCAGATTGAAGGGGAAATGAGACAGATAGGGGCTTCCTCCCCTCCTTAACAATTGGGCTACAGAGGGATAGTTAACACTTGATGTTAATTACTCTTATGCAAGTTTCAATCTTCCATTGTTCCACTAGCGGTGGTTGTGCCACCAACTGTCAAAGCTCTGAGCTCTGGAATTCCCTCCCTAAATTTGTCTGCCTCTCAAGCTTTACATTGCCCTTGCCCCACTCTGACTCTGCTGTCATTTCCGTACAGATATTCCACATCTCAGGTTGACTTGCAGAAGTGGTCCAGGTTTGGCAGAATGACAATGATTAACTTCTAAGGCCAGCCTGTATTAGCCTGAATTGTATTCCCTTGAGTCTAGAAAGTTGATGGATGATCTAGTCAAGGAGTTTAAATTCTTTAAAGGATTCAGAGAAACTATTTCCTATTGGGAAATTCCTGGACAAACGGGCATGCACTTAAAGCCAGCTAATCCAGAGGGAAATTAGTAACACTTTCTCCTGTAAAGTCTTCTGGGGAATCTGATATTTTCTGTTGCAAGTGTCTCAGATGCTGGAGGACACAGGGACCTTCAAGACTGAAATTGATAAATTTTTATTGGGTACAGGTATTGAAGAAATATGAAAGGCAAATGGTATGGAGGTGCAAATTGATTGTGATCTAACTGAATGTCGAAACAGGTCCATGGCATTGAATAGTCACTTTCTCGTCCTGTATCCCTAACCAGATCTCTGCCAATGCGCATGTCACTGTGGTTCCACCCTGATACTTTCTTTAAAAACCTGTCTGATTTGTTTCTCTTCTGCTTCAGGTTTATATCCAGACCTGCAGGAACTGGGAGACTATATGGGACTGGATCTGAACAGTGAGGATCTGAGGCAGAACATGGCCATAGTGCCAGCTGCAGAATCTGGAGTAAGCATCTGATGGAATTGGGTGACTACAATGAGCTGCATGAAAACTCTCCTCCCTTACGCCCTATTCATTATCCACAAATCTCCTGAAAGGCGTTTCTCTTTTTTAGTAACATTAAGATAAAACATTAATTCTAGCCTTTTGATATTAATTATACCTGTCTTTATTTGGGATGTCAGTTGTAGCTCAGTAGGAAGCTGTTAGAGTGTTTAAGTTCCCTTTCAGATATTGAAGCACTCAGTACTGCACAGGGAGTGTCAGCCTGAACATGGAGTGGGGGAGGAGAAGGGGGAGGTGGGGGGGGGGGGGGTGGGTGGGGGGGGTGGGTGTGCGTGGAGGTGGGGGGGTGGTGAGGGGACATGCTGAACTCTCAGTCTTTAGGATGAAACCCCTGATTCTAGACACCCTGACCAAGGGAAACATCCTCTCTGCATCTGGTTTGTCCAGCCCTGAAAGAATTTTTTACATTTCAGTCAGATCAAAGAAACATACAGTATAAGGCCATTCAGCCCTTCAAGCCTGCTTCTCCATTCAATAAGATCATGGCTGATCATCCGACTCAGTACCTTGTTCCCACTTTTGTCCCGTAGCTTTTGATTCATTTAGCCCCAGGAACTATATGCAACTCCTTCTTGAAAACATTCAATGTTTCGGCCTCAACTGCTGTGTCACAGAATTCCACAGGCTCTCTACTCTCTGGGTGAAGAAATTTCTCCTCATCTCAGTCCTAAATGGCCCACCCTGTGTCCTTCAACTGTGACTGTTCTAGACTCCCTGTTCATTGAGAATATCTGTCCTGTTTTACCCTGTCTAGACCTGTTAGGATTGTTTAGGCGTCAATGAAATAGCCCCTCATTTTTCTAAACTCCAGTGAATGTAGTCCCAATTGATCCCGTCTCTTTTCATACGTCAGTCCTGTCAGCCCAGGAATCAGTCTGGTAAAGCTTCATTGCACTCCCTCCATAGCCAGAACATCCTTCCTCAGGTAAGGAGACCAAAACTACGCACAATATTCCAGGTGCAGTCACACCAAGGCCCTGTACAATTGCAGAAGACATCCCTGCTCCAGTACTTAAAGCCTGTCACTATGAAGACCAACATACTATTTGCCTTCATGACCTGCTATACCTGCACACTTACCTTCAGTGACCGGTGTATGAGGCCACCAGGTCTTGTTGCTCCTCCCCCTTTCCCAATCTATCACATGCAGATAATAATCTGCCTTCCTGTTTTTGCTACAAAAGTGGATAACCTCTCAGTTATCCACATTATACTTCATATGCCTCATATTTGCTCATTCACTGAACTTGTCCAAATCACACTGTGGCATTTCTGCATTCTCCTCACAGTTCACTGCCCCCCCCAACCCAGCTTTGTGTCGTCTGCAAACTTAGAGATATTACATTTAGTGCCCTCATCTAAATCATGAATATATATTGAGAATAGCTGGCTTCCTAACACTGATCCCTGCGGTAACCCACTGGCTGCTATTTGGGAAAAAGCCCTGTTTATTTCTAATCTCTGATATACCAAGGTGTAGAGCTGGATGAACACAGCAGGCCGAGCAGCATCAGAAGAGCAGGAAAGCTGATGTTTCGGGTCTGAACCCTAATCTCTGTTTCCATAGCCAGGTCTCCATCCAAGTCAGTACACTACTCCTGATTTCTGCCCAAACCTCTTTCCTTCTAAACTGTCATGAATACAGGCCCAGTCGAACCATTGTGTCCTCATAGTACTGGTATCAGTCTAGTGAACTTTCACTGCTCTCCCTTTTTTGGCAAGTATATTCTTTCTTCGGTAGGGAGACCAAAACTTTCAAACAATACTCTAGATGTGGTCTCACCAAGGCCCTGCCTGACTGCAGTAAGATATCCCTGCTTCTGAATTCAAATCCTCTGTAATGAAGGCCAACATACCATTTGCCTTCCTAATTGTCTGTCGCCCCTGCCTGTCTACTTCCATTGACTGGTGGATAAGGACACCCAGGTACTTTTGCATATCCACACTTTCCAATATATCACCATTTAAATAATACTGTTTCTTTATGTTTTTCACAGTGAAGTGTATAACTCCACATTTAGCCATGTTGCACTGCATCCACCATGATTTTGCCCACACACTCAAATTGTCTAAATTATGTTAAGTCTCCTTGATTGCTCCTCACAACACTCAATCTTGCCCATTTTGTGTCATCAGTAAGATTAAAAATGTTTCATTTAGTTCCATCATCCAGGTCATTTATATATATTGTGAACAGTTGGGGTCTGAGCACTGATCTCTAGTGCCTCACAGTCACTGCTTATCACTCGGAAAAAGGCTCATTTATTCCCAATCTGTTTCCTATCTGTCAACCAATTCTTAATCCATGCCAATGCATTACCCCAATCCCACATGATTGAATTTTTCCCATTAGCCTCTTATCAAAAGCCCCTTCTGAAAATCGAAATACATCACACACACTGGTTCTCCCTTATCTGTCCCACTAGTTATATTCTCAAAACCTTCAGTAGATTTGTTAAGCATGATTTGTCTTTCATAAAACCATGTTTGCTTTCCAAATGTTCTGTTATCACATCTTTTATAGTAGACTCTAGCATTTTCTCCACTACTCTCATTAGGCTAGCTTGACTGTATTTCCCTGTTTTCTTTTGTCTGTTCCTCCCTTTTTAAATAATGGTGGTTACAGTTGCTACCCTCCAATCTGTAGGATATGCTCCAGAGTCCATAGAATTCTGGAAGATGACCACCAATGCATCCAAGGTTAATTCTTATGCACCGTGTCAAAGCGTTTTGCCCAAAATGTAAGGGTATCACCCACCAGCCCCACCTTCTGTAGGAAAGAAATGCCAAATTTGTCAAGCATTGCCAAACTCACCAGAAAGATAGTAGAGTAGATCTTGACATGGGCGATGGCATGGAGTGATCATGAGTTAGCAGCTGCCTGTGTTAAGTCTCTCCATACCAAAATCCCCAGTTACAGAAGTCTGGAGAGATAGAAAACAATCTGCTGATTCGTTCTCCACACAATCATAGAATCACACAGTACAGAAGAGGCCCTTTGGCCCATTGAGTCTGCACTAACAAATAACTGCTCTAAATCTACATGGATCCCACTTTCCCACACTAGGCCCACAGCCTTGAATGTTGTGACACTTCAAGTGTTCATCCAAGTACTTTTTGAAAAGTTATGAGGTATCCTACCTCAATTATCCTCCCAGGCAGAGCATTCCTGATTCCCACCAGCTTCTGGGTAAAATATATTTCCTTAAATCCCTTCTAAACCTCCTGCCTTTCACTTTAAAATTATGCCCCCTTGTTATTGACCCTGCAGTTCAGGGGAACAGCTATTTTCTATTCACACTGTCCATGTCCCTCATAATCTTACACACCTCAATCAGGACCCCTCTCAGCCTTCTCTGCTCTCACGAAAACAACCCAAGCTTATCCAGCCTCTCTTCATCAATGAAATGGTCCATTCCAGGCAACATTCTGGTGAGTCTCTCCTGCATCCCCTGCAGTGCAATCACATCCTTTCTATACAGTGGTGAACAGAACTGCATGCAGTACTCCAGCTGTGACCTAACCAATGTCCTGTACAACTTCAACATGACTTTCCTGCCGTCATAATGAATGCCATGACTGATAAAGGCGAGTGTCTGCTATGCCACCTTAGCTACCCTGTTGCTTTCAGGAATCTGTGATCAAGCAATCAAAGATCCCTCTGTTCTTGAGTTTTATTGAGTACTCCCTTGTTACTTCTTCCAAAGTAGATCAACTCACACTTATCAGGGTTAAATTCCATCTACTATTGATCTGCCCATTCGAGTAATCCACCATATCCTCCTGTAACCTACAACCTCCTTCCTCACTGTCAACCACCCAGCCAATCTTGGTTACATCTGCACACTTATCATCTCCCCTCTGCTCTCCCTCCCATTTCACCTTGGATTTCTCACTCTTTCTATTTTTGTGCTTCACTGTCTAGCAAGCTGACAGCAATCAGTCAACCATGAATAACATGGTGGCCCCATTGACTGGAAACAGTCTGGGACTCCACCGAGCGGAGATCAAAGCTGGAGTGCGGGAAGTGATCCTCTGTAAGGACCAAGATGGAAAGGTTGGGCTGCGTCTGCGTGCAGTTGACAAGGTAAGTAAATAACATGCAAATGCACCCAAAGGTCCCATCGTATAATTGTACAGCACAACGAGGTAATTGTCTTTTCCATTGTGCCTGGGCCAGATTTTTGAAATAAAGGTTTATCTAGTCCTACTCCTGTCCCAAGGTAAGAATTTCCTTGAGTCAATTCCTTTGGCACTTACATCTAAGTGCATAGATTTAATGGAAGTAGCAGGAGGTTTACTGGGGTTATGAGGAGAAATTCTTTTCACTGAGTTGGGAATCTGAAACTCGCTGCCTGTGAAGGTGGGAGAGGCAGAAACCCTGGTAACATTTAAAGGTATTTAGATGTTCACTTGCGATGCCAAGGCTGTGGGCCAAATGCTGGAAAGTGGGATTAGGATAGTTAGATGGTTGTTTTTGATTGGCTCAGCTGAAGGGCATTTTTCTGCACTGTAGATGGCTATGATTCAATGATTGTTGATAAGCATCCCAGTGTCAGTGAAATAATCCATTCCTAATTTTCAATAAACAAGTCCACCCTAAAAATTTATTATGGCATTTACAACACCTTGTTATCTCTTGTTTTCTTTAGACACTTTTTTCACCCATTTCCTTCTTATTGTTTTCCCCTAGGGGATCTTTGTGCAGTTGGTGCAGGCCAACTCCCCTGCTTCTCTTGTTGGGCTGCGTTTTGGGGACCAGATCCTGCAACTGAACGGCCAGACCTGTGCAGGCTGGAGCACTGACAAAGCACATAAGGCACTAAAACAGGCGCCGCAGGACAGGATCTCCGTCATCGTCCGGGACCGGTACGTAACTCTCTCAATTCAACTGGCTCTGGTTGGACTGTGAGCCAATTCCTCTAATTGTACAAATCCTCAAGGATTATGATTTGAAATAATTGGTTATTTCATTTTGAGATTTACGTGCAGGCTTCTCACTGTTGGACAAACTCTTGGGGAAAATTTGTCCAATGTCAGATCCATCGTTGAAACCCCTCCCACTACAGTAAGCCATTTGCTGCTCCAGCCTGCTCCATTATTTGATAGGACAGTGGCCAATCTGATTGGGAGCTTAACTGCACTTTCCTGACTGCTCCAGATACCTTTGTGATTCCCTTCTAACACTGGAGTCAATGTAACTCTGCCTTATAAATAGTCAGAGACTCTGCCTCCACTGCTGTCTGGGGAAGACCAGTCCACACACTAATGACCCACTGAGAGAAAGCCGTTCTTCTCACCTTTGTCTTAACTAAGATATACTTTACTTTTAACTGTGACTCCTGGTACTAGTCTCTCTCACAAGGAGAAGCATCTTTTCAGAATCCATCCTGTCATGTCCATTCAGGATCTGATATGTTTCAATAATTTTGTATCTTATTCTTCTAAATATGATTGGACGAACACCCATCTTGTGCTACTTGTTCTTACAAGATAATCCCTTCTTCTCAGGACTGAGTCAAATGAGCCTCTTACGAGCTGTTTTTAATACGATTTTATATGTATCTGTGTGGACATATAACGACACACACACCACACACTCTCTCTCACACACACACACACGCATAGAGATATTATATATATATATCTATCTATCTATCTATCTCAATAATGAGAACAAAACTGTATACGGTACTCCAGATGTGGTCTCATCAATACCCTATACAATTGTGCCAAATTTCTCTTTTATATCCCTGTCAATAAATGACAACATTCCTGATCACTAGATGCATCAATATTGCCCTGCCCTCAGCTTAATACCAAATGTCTTCTTCACCGTACAAAAATGCTTACTTTCACCTTTGTAATATCCTCTTATCATCAGTCCTTCCTCAGTCCTTCTGCTTTTGAAAATGTGATACAGACTGTGAGATTTTATATTTATTTTAATATCATTTAGCAAATTTTGAATTAGCGATGTATGGGTTTTTCAGTGTGTCTGAAGAGTTAATCATTAACTATCTTAGGGGAAACATCCATAAAGTGTATGTGATACAGTTATTTTAAGCTTCAATCGGGACATTTCTGAAGAATTTCTTGGATGAAGATGAGTGTTTAATGACTGTTCCTGAGAAAGGGTGAACACAATAAAAAATAGATTACCTTGGAACAAGGATTTACTAATACTGCCAGACCAGAAATGTTTGAATAAAACCAAGAAGGGACTATTTTGAGCTGAAAATGTTTAAACTCGGGTGTATAAAAGCTCCAGGAAGAGACTATCAATTTTTCTAAACTGGGAGATGAAGTCACAGTTACATTAAACCCATTGAGGTGTTAGAGAAGGGATTCTTCTGAATGCTATACAAGGAGTCCTTTTTGTGTACTGTACAGGCTGATGTTTTGGGAATTTGTAAAGGAGTGTTTTGGGGATTATTGATTGAATCTGTTATAGTGCGTTTCAAAATCTCTAAACTTGTGTTATATGTAAACAGAGATAGTAGGAACTGCCGATGCTGGAGAATCTGAGATAACAAGGTGTAGAGCTGGATGAACACAGCAGGCCAAGCAGCATCAGAGGAGCAGGAAGGCTGACGTTTCGGGTCGAAACCCTTCTTCAGAAATGGGGGAGGGGAAGGGGATTCTGAAATAAATAGGGAGAGACGGGGAGGCGGATAGAAGATGGATAAAGGAGAAGATAGGTGGAGAGGAGACAGACAGGTCAAAGAGGTGGGGTTAGAGCCAGTAAAGGTGAATGTAGGTGGGGAGTTAGGGAGGGGAGGACGGACAGGTCAAGGAGGCGGGATGAGGTTAGTAGGTAGGAGATAGGGGTGCGGCTTGAGGTGGGAGGAGGGGAAAGGTGGGAGGAAGGACAGGGTTAGGGAGGCGGGGACAAGCTGGGCTGGTTTTGGGATGCAGTAGAGGGAGGGGAGATTTTGAAGCTTGTGAAGTCCACATTGATACCTTTGGGCTGCAGGGTTCTCAAGCGAAATATGAGATGCTATTCCTGCAGCTTTCGGGTGGCATCGTTGTGGCAATGCAGGGGGCCCAGGATGGACATGTCGTCCGAGGAATGGGAGGGGGAGTTGAAATGGTTCGCGACTGGGAGGTGCAGTTGTTTGTTGCGAACCGAGCGTAGGTGTTCTGCAAAGCGGTCCCCGAGTCTCCGCTTGGTTTCCCCGATGTAGAGGAAGCCACACCGGGTACAGCGGATGCAGTATACCACATTGGCAGATGTGCAGGTGAACATCTGCTTGATGTGGAAAGTCTTCTTGGGGCCTGGGATGGGGGTGAGGGAGGAGGTATGGGGGCAGGTGTAGCACTTCCTGCGGTTGCAGGGAAAAGTGCCGGGTGTGGTGGAGCTGGAGGGGAGTGTGGAGCGGACAAGGGAGTCACGGAGAGAGTTGTCCCTCCGGAAAGCAGATAAAGGTGGGGAGGGAAAGATGTCTTTGGTGGTGGGGTCGGATTGCAGATGGCGGAAGTGTCGGAGGATGATGCGTTGGATCCGGAGGTTGGTGGGGTGGTACGTGAGGACGAGGGGGATTCTTTTTTGGTTCTTATTGCGTGGACGGGGTGTGAGGGATGAGGTGCGGGAGATGTGGGAGACACGGTTGAGGGCGTTCTCGACCACCGAGGAGGGGAAGTTACGGTCCTTGAAAAACGAGGACAACTGAGATGTACGGGAGTGGAATGCCTCATCCTGGGAGCAGATGCGGCGGAGGCGAAGGAATTGGGAATAGGGGATAGCATTTTTGCAGGAAGGTGGGTGGGAGGAGGAGTATTCTAGGTAGCTGTGGGAGTCGGTGGGCTTGAAATGAATATCGGTTTCTAGGTGGTTGCCCGATATGGAGACAGAGAGGTCCAGGAAGGGGAGAGAGGTGTTAGAGATGGTCCAGGTAAATTTAAGGTTGGGGTGGAAGGTGTTAGTGAAGTGTATGAACTGTTCGAGCTCCTCGTGGGAGCACGAGGCGGCACCGATACAGTCATCAATGTAACGGAGGAAGAGGTGGGGTTTAGGGCCGGTGTAGGTACGGAAGAGGGATTGTTCCACGTAACCTACAAAGAGGCAGGCGTAGCTTGGGCCCATGCGGGTACCCATGGCTACCCCCTTTGTCTGTAGGAAGTGGGAGGAATTGAAAGAGAAGTTGTTGAGTGTGAGGACGAGTTCGGCTAAGCGGATGAGGGTATCAGTGGAGGGGGACTGGTCGGGCCTGCGGGACAGGAAGAAGCGGAGGGCCTTAAGGCCATCTGCATGGGGAATGCAGGTGTAGAGGGACTGGACGTCCATGGTAAAGATGAGGTGTTGGGGACCGGGGAATTGGAAGTTCTGGAGGAGGTGGAGGGCGTGGGTGGTGTCACGGACATAGGTAGGGAGTTCCTGGACCAAGGGGGAGAAAATGGAGTCGAGATAG